GGTTATTTACTAATAGTTTATTATAATTTTGACAGAATTTAGACAGTCACTAAGGGATTTCAGCAAGCAACCTTAGTCATATCTGATGTTGCTACTGCAATTATAGTTTTATTTTTACATGAAAATATTATATGTAAATATGAATATTCAAAAAAAATTATTTCTGATAAAGGTACAATATTTATTAATGATCTAATTGCAAAACTTTTGGAAAAATATCAAGTAAAATATCAACTTTTAGCATCTTATCATCCACAAACAAATAGTCTAATAGAACACTTGAATAAAACAATTTGTATAGTACTTATAAAATATGTACAATTATATAAACAAAACTGGAATTACTATCTTTCAAATATTTTATTCATATATAGAATAATGAGATAAAGTACTACTTAGTTTGAATCATTTTATCTAACAAATGGTTGACAAGCAAATATATTACTTAATATTTAATTAAAATTACCAAATGATCAAAAAGCAATATTAGAAGAACAAATAATTCAAAGAGCTTGTAAAATTTTTAATCAACTAGAAAAAGACTATAAATTAGCTTTACAAAATATTCAAAAAGTGCAATTAAAACAAAAAGAACATTATGACAAAAACAAAATTATCCAAGTATTTGAAATTGGAGATAAAGTTCTAATAAAGCAAATGGAAACTCAACATTGGTATTATGACAAATTTGGAGAAAAATAAAAAAAATTATTCTATATTCATAACAAATTTAATAAAGGAACTTACAAATTGTGTACACTTAATGGAAAAATCTTGAAGAACTATATAATAGTAATTATTTAAAGCTTTATGTTGAATTGAACAAATTAGAATTCATGATAATTATTTGAGTTTTTTGCAGTAAAACTCTTAAGTAGAAAAGATTATCACTATTTAATATTTTGGATCACATATAAAATATCATGTAACATAATTTTAATAATTATTTATTCTTAATTAATTACTATAATTAGTTCACACTTTGTCTATTAATATAAGAATGATAACAATATTAAATTTCTTGATATTATATTTATCTAAATAATCTTTTATTTTAGTATATTGACAAATAGCTAAATAATATATAACATATCACAACAGTAATAATATATAATTACTTGTTATATTCCAAAAATATTATTATAGATAATGATTTTGAAAATAATAATAATATTTTAATTAATTTTATTATTATAAGTATAATAATATTATATAATATTAAATGATTTTTTTATAATAATAATAATATTAAGTAATAAAAAATTAAGTTATTATTAAATTCAAATTGAATTTTCTTGAGCTTTGTGAATAAATTAAAAAAGAACACATTTTTTTTAATTTAAAGTTGTAAAATTATTCAAAAAATTAATTATTACCAAAATTTTGATTTAAAATTATAAAATTATTCAAAAAATTAATTATTATCAAAATATTTAAATAATTAAACAAGTACTATTAACTGCAAATTCACTATCTTTTTATTCTCAAAAAATTATCTCTTATATTAATTATTATAAAAAATAAATCTAGTTTGTTAATACAAAAAAAATACTTTAATTAATATATTATACTTTTTATATTAAAATTTTGATTATTAAAAACATATTATCAGTAATATTATAAAAAAATAACTCTTTTAGATATTGTAAATAAATTTGTAAATAGTATAAAGCAAAAAAATTATTTTAATATTTATTATAAATCATATTATATACTTAAAAAATTAATTTTTAACTATAATAATAAATTATTTTTCAAAATAAATATCAATTACATTATTTCAAAAATGATTATTTAAATTACTTTTTAAAAAAATAATATTTTGACAAATAATTTAGTTTTATTATATTGTTATAATATGAATTTTAATATATTACATATTTTATTTTATTTTATTTTAATTAAATAATTAATTTATATATTATTTATAAATTATATTTTATATTATCTATATTTTATTTATACTATTATTAATAATCTTATGTAATTATAATAATATTATATAAAAAATATTATAACAAACTACATGTAATTGTTAATTTATATACTTACATACTTTTATAGTATATTACCAGAAATTGATTATATAAAATACTGATCCAAAGTTTAAAAGATCAATTTTATTGATATTTCTTATAATAATAATAATAAACAAAAAAATCTTATTTTTTCTCTTTTCTAAAATGCATGAAAAAGAGTTGATCAATAAATAAAGAGAACAAATAATTAATACTTATTTTGTTGGTGTCAAAGATTTAAATCTTGCACTTAAATTCAAAATTTCTCAAATAATAATATATAATATTATTAAATACTATTAAAAAATTAATTTTTCATATTTTGAAAAATGCTTTAATTAATTAAAAATTCTAATCAATCATAAAAAGTATATACTGCAATGAGTTATTCTTAAAAAGCAATTTTCTTCACTTGGTAAAATCACAAATAAACTAAATAATAAATTTAATACTATTTATCATTCTAATATCATTTATAAATACTTAGATGAAATAGAGTTTAGAAATTATACTTCAAGAAAAAAATCTCTTTTGACTTCAAATCAAGAACTTTTGTTAATTAAATTGGTACCAAGAAAAATATAACTGAAAAATACAATGAAAAGATATTATTTGGTTTAATGAGTTCAAATTTGTACTTTTTGAATTAAATAGTCAGATAAAAATCTGATAAAGCTTACTATCAAGAATGTATTAAATTTACTATTAAATTTGACAAAGAATCAGTAATATTTCAGTTAAAATAGAATTAATTCTTTGATATCAGTAAAAGAAATCATATCTATATTAATATTCTTATTAATTTTTTATATCCTGAACTTGTTAATATTCAAATTTTATATTTTAACAAAATAAAATACTGTATTATACTTCATTATATATAACTTGATGAATATTAACATATAATATTTAACTTTTAGATTGAATTAATTAAAGTTCTGATCAAATAACTGTGAAATATTTTGGATCACTAAATTCAAAAAAGAAAATCTTTGTATATATTAAAGCAAAATTAATTCATATGCTACAAGAGGAATAAATTAGTATCAATCTGAAAATTTTATATGAACTCATTTTAAGTTTATTTAGATATATAGACAAGATTATTAAAGCCAATGGCAAAAATATATCATATTAATTTGTAAATTCTTAAATTTGAATCAATATAATTGTATATTCAATACTTTATTTTTATTAAATTTATTATTTGTTTAATAAATATAATAAATTTTTTATATAGTGAACAAAAAAGTTGATTTGTTAAATAATTAACATAAATTTTCATTAATATATTGTAGAAATATATATTATATTATTATAATCTTTATTTAATTTAATTATTGATGTTAATATTAAGAAAATTATTATTTTATCAACTAATAGAATTTTAGCAAAATTAAAAATGATTTACAAAAATTAACCAATTACAAAGAAATTTCACTATGCTTTTTATTTCTGCAATAACTCTAATTTTATCACGTGATATGTATCATTATATAATTTTTTCAATATAATCAACAAAAAAATTAGATCCTATAACTTAATTTATTTATCTATCAACTTGTTTTTGTAAAAATAAAGCATTAATTAATAATTCAAGTTTATTATTATATGATTCAAGTAATCTATACTCAACAATTTGTTTCAATTTTAAAATCTTTAAACTCAATGTAAAAACAAAATTTTTAAAATTTGATTAATAACTTTGTTTTTTATGATAAGCTCTATAAAGTTACCAATCAAATTTTGAAAATTTTGTCTCTATATTAAGTTAAAGATTTTAAAAATTGAAACAAATTGTTGAGTATAGATTACTTGAACCATATTTAAAATTTCATGCTGAGCATTTTTACTTAAAAGCTAAAAAATGGTTATTATAATAGAATTCAAAGTTATTCTGTTTTTCATCGCTTAAATTTTCATGTTACACATGATCCTGTGATTTTACTGGATAAATATTACTTATGGCTGGAAAACGCCATTTTATTGGATAAATATCACGTGTTCTAATTTTTTTGTGGGGGAGTTCGCCGTGTATAAAAACCAAATTATTAGTTTTTGTATTTTTCTGCATTGTTGTGGAGACTTACATTTGTCAAATTGTCTGGATAGTCGACTATCCTATTTTTCACAATTTAGATTGTTTTAATTTAGAGATTTAGTTTCAATACAAATTAAATAAGATTACCGTAGTTGAGCGATGACTTACCATGAAATAAGACCGTATCATTGAAACAGCCAGTATAGTTTGAATTTAAGGTAATGCTTCCTTTTGCTTTAAATTTTTTAAATTGTTATCTAAACATGAAAGAAATAAAGCTTAATCTCCCGTACATAATAATTAATGCCTTAGAAAGTCATTTACCTTTTCCAAGCTTCTCGGTCTCGAAGAGTAGCGATCCTGATCTCCGTTTAAAATAGGCGGCAACATCAACGTAAAGAGAATCAGTATGGTTTAGAGGTAATTTTGTTGGAAATGTGGTTAAAAGTACATTAATATTCTCGTATACATTCTATGATTAGGACACCATCCTCAAGTTTATACTCTTTTTACTTTCATCTAGTTTTCATTTTTGTATTTTTCTCGACTCCCTCCGGCCGTCTCTTTCTCAACCCTTGCTTTCTGCTCTTTAGCAAACTGTAATTTTTCTTGCATCATTTGGTAGACGTATTGCCCGATATGGGTACATCTGCAATCTCATATGGTTCGCTGTAGCCTCCCACTTAACAATATATAAAAATGTATATGAATAAATAATGGAAACAAAAATAGCATAACGACGAAATAATATAAATCATACATCTTTATCAGTAGACAGCATTTCATTTATTCACATGCAATTTTAACTTATCAGGCTGTTACATCATCGTTAATTCATAACAATTCTCATAATGCACGTCGCCAAAACACGTATAGCCAAGGAGTGCTCGGGACATAAGATGTCGCACATCTCGGAATGTCAGCTGATCTGATATAATTAGCACCAACGATTATTCTCGTTATGATTAAATTTAGTGTTAATAATATCTCTGCAATAATTACATATAATTATCTTGCTGTTCTTGGAATTTATCCACAACCGTTATTTTTGCAGGTCTTCCAAATAACGGATTCCACGGACATCGTTTTTTTAGCATATCGCGTATTAAAGCTTTTTGTTGTGTTATTAGGCTAGTGATCTGTTCAGCTTGATGACCTAGTAATCGCATGCACTGGTAAACAACGACTATATATTCAGCATCACCGAAATTCTTTTAATGTTTAAAAATATAAGAGAATAAATTAGCTTATTTGACTTTTATATACCTGATAAAAACATAGCACTGATTCTGCCCAAATAAACCGCGTTTATCTATATATAGATAAAATGGTCATGATTGAATTGGTATTCTTGTTAAGCGTTCTTTTTACCCTGCATTCGCTTTTTTATTAGTGTCCATTTATACAATTCAACAATAGAAGATCTAGCACGACTCTACACATAATTGTTCTACTAACTCGAATTTCTCCTAAAAATGCAAAAGTATCAAATAATTTACCTGAGAATCCAAATCAATCTAGGAATATTAAACCTCACAAATCCTGTGAACAAACTCTGTTCCATATTTTTCACAACAGGGGGTAACTGATTATGGTCCCTGAGCATAACTCTCTTTAGTTATAGCCACCACGTGATTGCGAGGCCGACAACGACGATATTTTTTACGTTCGAGTTATCTCTATTGTCGTTGATGGAACTTGGCTAATTCCGTTAAAGAATCTGATATTATTGTTTATTATTTTATTTTTATTGTTAGAGCTCTGGTTCCGATTCAGAGTGCTTGTATTGTTTTTAGTGCTGCTATTCTTTTTGATGATTTGTTTTTGTCTGACGATTGGATGATGTTTTGTTGATGTGGTATTTGAGAGATTAATATATGATGTCGATTGTGATTGCTGTTCTTGCATCAGTTTTTGATCTCGTCAGTAAGAAGTGGGCAATTACAAGGAATTTCTGATTCTTGCCTCGGGGCTCGTTTGAGTCTAAAATGTCATTGGGCGCATGTTCGGTGGGACGGTAGACTCCTTTATTCCTTAAAAATGGCAAAAATCATTTCAAAATTTGACAGCATAAACTCTCATATATAATTGGGTAATACACGTGAGAAATCATTTGATTGGATGTGTATTTCTTGTTCCGGAAAGGTTAGTATGAAGACTCGCAAAACGGTCATGGTTGGATGGTTGGAGGAACTGTTTGTTAACTCAGCCTCAATACAAGTTGAACATTGTAATTCAATTCTTATTATTCGAATCGATTAATAAGTTAATGGGTGAACTATGCATAATTTAAACTGAATCAATTCTAATTGATTAGATGTCCTGCTTTATATATGGGGACAAACCAATGCCGCCTTGATTAAAAAGGGTTCAATACTACCTCGCGTCAAGCGATTGGTCCGCTACACTGACACAATGATATACTTTCCCATTGTCAAAGGTTGAATTGATAACTGAGCCTGATTTTTTTTAGCCGCAAGGATATCACTAACTTTATAAGCTGCGCTGCTTTTTTCGGATTAACAACTTCATACCTTTGACGAATACTATCTCTTTGCATTCAATGCGGATTAAATAAATATTCTGCCATCTATTTCTTCAACCTCGTCAGGCATGTGAAACTTATAGGCTTGGCTATCAAATAGCATTCTATAAATAAAGATGCGTTTCCGAATAAGCGACTTTTACTTTTAGCATGTTTCTGACCAGCCATTGGATACAAACCTCCTTGCTATCCTAAAGAGATAAGAAGAAATTTACAGAATTTTTAGTACCTTTTCTATTCGTTTATGGTGATGATTATTTAAATATTTATATTATTTATAATAATTTGAATAAACACAAATGGATATAGAAATATGATTTATTATAATTCTTTTGAGTACAAAAGTTTGCCTAATGATGGCAACTTAAAACAATTAGAATAGAATTAATAATAAATAGAACTAAGATTAATATGGGTAATAAAATGATAACAAAACTTTTGCTAATTTACCAAAGATTATTTTATATTCGTAAAGACACAGTTAAGATCACATCCATGTCAATCATCCTCTTGTTTTTTCATAGTATTCAGAGCGTAAAACGAAAATGGTACCTAGATCACGCTCAGCTCGAATGACTCTAAAGTTTTTGTTAGCGTTTCCATTTGGTCGTTGTTTTTTGCTGACGCGACCATCATCATCGAGAAGTTTGGTCTCGAGAGAGGTGACTTTAGTAATGGCTATTGGCGTTTCTATTGTAGTAGTATTACTAGAGGCGGATGAGGTGTTGGTGGTGCTACTGGAAGCAGTAGCAGTGACAGCAGCATCGGTATCGTTTTTGGTTTTTCTTCCGCGTTTTGCTGGTTGTTTCACTGGAGGTTGTTGAGGAGCGTTTAATTGGGAGGTTTGTCGCTTTGGATTGACGACATACATTGTACCATCGGGTTTGATTTCTACCACCTGTTAATTTTTTTATAATAATTAACATGGTTTTTTGATGATATGGAATAGCCAAAAAAAAAAATCCAAAGAAATAAAAAATCATTACATTTACGATGCTTTCAACAACAATATTGACTTTAACAAAGCTGCGTCTATAGTGCAATTCGTCACCGGCTCGTATAATGGCAGCTTTACAAAGATCTTGAAGGCTGAGAGAAGCAGAGTCCCCTGCGACCATATGACCTTTAGGCTTGAGATTATGACCCCACTTCGCTTCGAATTTTAAGTCCTAAAGTTAGAATAATAATAATAATATTATTATTATTATTATTATTATTGTGAATAAATATTTATTAATAATTAGTCATCATATAATATAATAAAAAAAAAAAGATAGGAGACAATTACCTTCCAGTCTTCATCCATAGTTTTTCTGAGTCGTTTTTGAGTCGCTTCATTTTTCTTAATCCATTTGGGATCAAAATGACCCCAGCTTAATTTTTCCTGGAACGATTTTACACATCCGTAAAACTGCATATCGTTAAAAAAATATTTGCGAATCTTTTCTTTTGGACGTTTATCATCATTAATAATTGTAAGTTTCGCGTCAAGTTTGGAAAACATAGCGGGAGGCTCTTTTTCGTGATCTTCAATTGTGGATGTTGAACTCGCACTTTCGGCTGGCAAGTTTGAACCATCAATTGTCATAATATCCGCATTTTCGGCTGCCAGATCAGAATCTTCAATTGTCACCATATCTATAGTAGCATCAGCTGCACTTTCAACTGTTAAATTAGCACCATCACCTGTCACGATATCTTTGAATGGTGAAGCAACAGATGCACTTTCCACAGGCACATTTGATGATGGAGAGGATTCAATTGCAATTTCCGCTGGTCCATTTACACTTTGACCTGAATACTTCATTAGATATTCAACTTCAGCTTGCTCATCAATTTCAACTGGTTCGCTTATTTCAATTTTTTCTTTGTCTTTCTTTGGACCTTTTTTGGTAATCTGCTCTTTATCGATCGAAGGTACTAGACGGATTAATCGTTCTTTTTCCTCTTTGGTAAATTTTTTATACCTTTTTTCGGAAAAGATTTTCTTCATAAAAAACTAATTAAATAAAGTGAAAAAAGAAGAGAACCTAATTATACATCATTTAAAAAATGTCGATTAATTTAACAGGATGTAAAAAGTATTTGCTTGTTTATTACCCTCATATCAAGCTCGACAAGCTCGGAATTTGTATTAGTGACTAAATATTCATATTCGCGTGTCTTCTTCTTTTTGGTTTTACGTTTTGAACTTGGAGATGATTGAGGATTTGATTTTCCTTTTTTCGTCGCAATCTTTTGAGCACTGTTAGGTTCATCTGGCATTGCAGCTTGATTCTGATTATCATTTAGGTCTACTACAGTTTCTTCGACCTCCATCGGATTAGTATGTGTTTCGGAGGGAGCAAAATTTCCTGATTTTATGACATTATCAGTATCATTTCTCTTGAGTTTTTTTGCTGCATTGGGAGTATTATGTGAACCAGTAATAAGTTTGTCGTTATCTTTAGCTTGCGTATCGTCGGTTTGATCGGTGTTGGTTTCGTCGTCATTTCTGGATCTCTTGTTGTTGCTTCTAAGGCTTTTTCCATCTAGACTACTTTCTCCTAAAACCACCACGTCATCAGCCTGTTTTGGATTACTTTCTCCTAAAATAGTAACATCAGCGTCATGATATCATCCTTGGTTACCATAGTGAACTGTGTTCGTTTATATCTTCAACTTTTGTTTTCTTACCTTGACCATTTACGTTGTCATTTAATATCCCTTCCTCACCGTCAATAGACATGAAGGACGTTGACAAAGAAACAGCACCAACGGAATGTGATGACGTTGATATTACCCCTTCTTCGTCGTCAATAGACATGAAAGACGCTGCTTTAGGCAGTGGGTCACTAGGAACTGGCGAATCCTGCATCTCATTTTCCCTTTTTCGAGAAGAGCGTAATGAACGCGTAACAACGGACGGAGTTTTATCGATAGCAGTTGTAGTCTTTTTACTAGGCGGCATTTTTGCTTTTTAGTTGTTACCTATCTTTTCTTTGATAGTTGGTTTTCTTTGGTCTTACTTGCACTAGCGTCAACTTTGAGTGGTCGTACTACGACGCGACAATTTTTGTCGTTTTGTAATTTAGCTGATCAACTATTGGATAAAATTTAGTGATTTTAGTGATGGACATGTTATCTTACTGGTCTTGACATAGTAGCTCGCCGTTTGTCTAATAATGTCTAATAGTACCTCTATCATGTAGTTTTTTATCCGAAAAACAAACTCCTTCAGTATTACACATATACGGTGACTCCTAAGTTATGTATATCCTGTAAAATATAACGGTCAGCTACAGTATACCCACATCTATCTGAGTACCTAACTAAAGTCACCCTGTTCAATATGTGACACTCGCCACATAAGCACACCTCCATATGGTCACACCATAATCGGTTCCGAAGAGGGTACGGCTGTAGATAATTATGCAACAACAGTGAGGGGAGTGACATATATTACATAATATCGAGTTACTATAGAGGTAACCCCCCTCCCCCCAGGTGAGATTTTTATTATATTTTAATTGGCTAATTATTTTTGATCACGTGGAAGGTGAGATTTTTGAGACCCCACCTCTCCCCTCTGATAATTACGTAATATATGTCACTCCCCTAAATGTATTTTAAATTTAATAAATTAAATAAAATAACATCGAAATTCACAAGAATCTGAACGTTTGGCATAAATTTTCAACATGAATAAATAAAAATTAATTTACCTGAAAAAACAAGATTTACTGAAATTAGTAAAATCCACGTGAAGTGGAAAATCAGCATGAATTCAAAAAAAAATCTGTATAAATAGGTAATTTTAAATAAAGGCCAATTAAAATTGATGATATCTTGCATAAAACATGATCCGGAAAAAGGAACTGAAAGAAGAACCCATCGGAAATTAAATACTGTACATTCTTTCATTGTCATGCTGTCTGCGGATCAATGAATTACAACAATGGACAGCACACGCTTTGCAAAAACAGCTCATTGGACAATACTAAAGTGATATACGTATGTTTTTTTTTTGCCTGTCACGCATAAAAAAATCTTAGAGCACGGGGTGAATGTTTGTGTAGACTATGAATTAATTCATAATTGGGTTTAAGCCAAGATTTGCATAAGCACGAATCGCTCCAGTTGTTCACTTGCTCTCTAACTTTGTGTATTATCATAACTTTTGAGTTGTTTGTTAATTCAATGACGCAATTATCGTGACCTACCAATCAACAAACTAAAGATCTGGATAGAGCCCTTGGCATGGGGTAATTTGAGTAACGGTGAAAATACGCGACAATGATAAAATTTAGATTTGAGGTCGGGTCTTTATTTATATGCTGATATGACCATTTCCTGCATTTGATGATATAGATTTTACGAAATATGCAATTTTTAATTTATTCTTATCTAATATTGGTTACTAGTAGATTTGTACATCGTCTTACAAACATCGGGAGATTATGCCATATTTATTTTAGTTGAAATATTGATTGCCAAGAAGCATTTTTGGTTTTTTTTATACACACTGTAACACCCAAACTCTAAATTGCGCAATCGAAATAAACAAGGCAAATCTTCATTGATATTTGATAGTATGCAATGTAATCAGGATGTTTTTTTATCTACGCATAAAATTTCCGTGCTAACAAAATACTAAATTCTCCGCACCTTAGCGAGCGACAGTTGAATGACTAACTTGTGATCTTTACGCGAAATTCTGCCCTAAAAGAGTAAACAATGAAGAGTCTAGCTTGAATATGAAATTGATATTCGCGTACATGTGAACATTCACTAGATCTCGATTTAATTTCTGCGGATCAACTAGTTGAAAACGAGTAATTATTTTATCAGCTATTCCTTGGCTGTTGTTACATTTCTATTTTTAGGTTTTTTCTGCGCCATGTAAATCATTATTTATAGTAACGTAAATTTTTATTCTTTTCGATACAAAAGTCAAAATATTTGGGAATCTAGTTTCGATCAAGTTTAAAAAGATATTGATAATTCAGTTTGGTATTTGTGTAGTCTTGAATGTTCCGAAGTGTGCTGAAATCAACTTTTTTGTCTGCGAGACACCATGATGCGAAATTAACTTTAATGTTGAGAATGTGATCAACTATTCATAAATTGTTACACAAAACAAACATCATAATTTATCTAAAATACTAAATTTGGGTTATATACATGCCCATTCGGACTTTTTTATAATTACTAACCAAATTTAGGCTTTTGAATTTATTTTTTAAAAGGTTAAACTTACGTCTTGGCGTAGAAAAACTCGGGGCAACGCATATTAAAAAACAAACCTAAATTCAGGATACATTACACAGAGTTGTAAATTAAAAAAATATCTTGCATAAATGAATTACATAACAAGCTATAATCGTCAGGTATTTCGTCATCCACATACTTTATATCTATTTGGTTATGAATGGTGGAACTATGAAGAGTTGGGGACGTGGACATTATTGTGCCAAATTCTACATGATGATCGATTATGTTTGGCCAAGAGGGAAGACTAACTTTTATTGGTTAGAAGAAAGAAATTTTACGAGCATCAAAGCTAGCGAAAAAATATAAAAAGGCACCGATCAGACTTTTTAGGACACGTTAGGAAAAAGAATTCTTCTCTTACGTCTGGCGGGAAGTCTTTTTGAATCGTTGAATTAGTTTCAAATTCGACAACCACTTGATTCTTTATTCTATCCCCCAGTTAATAAAACACATCAAGGTATGATTCGCGTAGGGAAATTCTAAGAACACGCCCAATTGTGGAAAATCTCGATAATATTTTCATTGTATGAAAACTTTTTCGAAACGTTTTATTTTCTTAACATTTATTTTTTTCATCAACTTTCGTTATTCTTTCTTTTCACATAATTCTACTTTACCAATCTTTCTTCTACACAACAATATCCTCGATGGATCATCATTTCGCATCAAAGAAACAATTTAATTGTGCTGTGTATAGTGCAATTGTTCAAATGAGCGTCTCCCAATCTTATTTGATAACACTTGCAATCGAAACACTTCATTTTATAATGGATGAATTAGAAGACGAACGAAATCGATTGAATTTTGCGATGAGCTGTAAATGGTTATATCGTGTATATCGTATCTATTATGTTGGATTTGCCACGCCAAACTGGGTCCCATTCAATGGAGGAGGTAGTGACGATGATGAATTTAATGATGGTCCCCCTGTTGCAAATTATCGTGATGGCGTACTCGTTGATGGCGCGTTATATGTTCCCATCTTGAACGAAGAGCAACCCGTGTGTTGGGTGCTTGATTTTAAACAAATTGTGATAAAATGGGATAGTGTTAATATAACATTGGGATTAGACGATCAGAGATACATTCCACTTCGAAATACTGTCACATCTGCCGTACGTTCTTTAATTTACCTGTTCGGAGGGGAAACGATATTCGGCAATCCATCAAATATATTTTACGAATTGGATCCAAGATCAATGGTTCTTCGCAATGTTCAATCTGAGAATAACGTTGTTCCTTCGATTAGAATAATGCACTCGTTAAATACAATCGGAAACCGACATTTAGTCCTATTTGGAGGGTGCTCTATAATCGGTGGTATGTAATTAACAATTAATCGTATTGTATTAAGTCTCAATTTAAATTATTTGACTCAATTATTTTTTTTTACGGTATTTGCATAATAGATATTAAAGAGCCTCCATTCGCTTCAGGACATGAAGAAGACACCACTACCACAAAAATCACCAACACCAACAAATATTATGACACTAAAGATTTTTATTTATATGATATTTCAAACAAAACTTGGTATTCCTATCCTGAGGAATACCGACATGCTTTGCCATACGCACGAGCCGCACATTCATCTTTAACAGTTGGTTCCTCTCTATATGTCCATGGTGGTAAAAGAATTCGAGCAAATACTTCATCACCATCAGAAATTCACGATGACGAAGATCTCTGGGAATTTAATTTTGCCAATAACATAAATAACGAAAGAGAAATTAATAGCGATGACGATAGTAATGAGGAGGATAGTGATAATGACAACTGCGGTAGTAGTAACTCGAACGCATCATCAAATACTAGAACTTCTGCTGCTACAAATACATCATCGATAAATAAAGCCACAGGTAACAATAGCAGCAATATAATTCAAAATTTTCTACGAAATAAATGGCAAAAACTTTTCTCCCCTCGCACTTCAACCTCTCCATTTTTCACACTCGGGGATGAGAGCGACTGGAAGGAAACAACCGGTAAAGTCACTGGCAAAAGATGTGGATCAGCAATGTTCAGAATCGGAAAACGTGTTGCGATTTTAGGCGGATATGAAAAAGACAATTGGCTCCACGAAGAGGATATAACACAACCTTGGGAAATGTGCAAAATATACTTACCGGAAAGAAGGCGATGGGATCATGTCCGTATTGTAGGGTTTCCTGACATGGAGTGTGTCGCTTTTGTGCGAGATCATACTGGTCAGCCGGGGAACATTTTTATAATGGGAAGGAAAAAGGGAGATCAGAGTGGCAAAACTGTCATGGGGTGGATAAAAGACTATTGAATTTTACTTTATAGATTAATATTTCCCCGTTAAGAATTTTACTTATAGATTAATATTTCCCCGTTAAGAATTTTACTTATAGATTAATATTTCCCCGTTAAGAACTTACTTTATAGATTAATAAGAACTTACTTTATAGATTAATAAGAATTTTTACTTTATAGATTATTTTTCCGCTGAAATTATCGTTAATTTATACTGTTGTTACACAAAAATTTTACATTATTATTATTATTCGTCAAAAAAAACTTTCTAATTGCATGTCCGAAATTCTGTCCGATTTTGTTTCGTCGATTTCGATTTCTTTTTCGTATTAACATCAATCGTCGATTAATTTTTTGTATATACTCCCACTAGAGCCATTTTAGTTAATCTCAAGATAATCAATAAATAAATCGTAATTTTTCTGCGACTCACGCTAAGACAAACATCACGATGACATAAAGTTCCATCACTTCATAAATTCCATCTAAAACTTTCTTGATCATGTGAAATTATAGAACTTTAAAGAATCCCACTGCATGTGGCTCAGTTATGGCGTAATGTCATATTGTGGCGCTTATTAATTATCGGGATGCTTTTAGTAGGTTTTACTTATTTGTGCATGTAATACAAAGCACATGACAAATACATTTATACAATTATAGATATGAATCCGCACCAAAAGTTCGGGCCACGTGATAATTCTTTGATGATGTCAACTATGCGAAAAGGGTTAGGTTCGAAAAATGTATTTATAGTAAAATTTCGTAATGAACATTTTTATAGGCTAGCCTTTGTTTTGTTTATTTTTGAATTTTTGTGTTACGCATTGATATTGTAATTTAATTGGTTATCATCGCTGACACAATCAAAAAATTATCACGTGGCCCGAACTTTTGGGGGTTGCCCTGGTGGCTTCTATAGATATTACAAACTAGGGTTAGAGCGAGAACAAGGTTATATATATCCATTTTTGGGTTTGTATTACATGTTAATTACATGCACAAATAAGCATACCCCTTTTAGTATAGTTTATCGTAGAATTTATTACACATGGTTACTATGACTAGGATGCTTTTAGTATAGTTTAAAATTTATCGTTATTACATAATGGTTACGATGTTTATTATTATAGTTTAAAACGTACCATATAAATTGTTCGTAGTCTTTACTCAAACTTTGCACAAGATGACAGAGGATGAATTACTATTCAAAGACTGGAATTTCCACATACTTAAACTGAGTCAATCAAAATCAGAAAATTTTAAAGAGCGCATTATCGCTCAAGGTGGAAAAGTCATTGATAACAACCATAAATTTCACAAAATCGATATTTTCATAACAGCATTAAAATCACCTGCAAGAATTTCGCGTTACGTGCCTGAGGATATGCCGAAACCGGTGGTCTCTTTAGAATGGCTTGAAGAGTGGTTGTTATTAAAATAATCTGTGTTTTTTTTATAAAAAATCCAATAATTCTGCTAACTCTCAATATACAAAAATAATAACAATTAAACTCCAAATAAGCTTACCATTTGACGGGTACTTTGTATACGGCGCACAAAAAAATATAAAGGAAATGAAGTTGGTGAATTAGAAATTAAGAGGGCGGGTATTTCTCGTCTTGATAATTCTATCTCGGCAGAAATTTCCAATATAGAAAGTAGTGGCAGGTCTGCTAAACAATTATGCCAATTGTAATTGATTTTTCAAATAACACTAATAATAAATAATGATTTTATCGCGGATCATTTTCCTCCTTCTCTTCCCACGAAGAGACCAGACGGAAGATGAAGGTACATGTAAATGTGAAGGAATATTCCGTTATTTTATCCGATTAATTTTTTATTTTTTATACTAATGTGATGACAAATTTTCAAAATTTCAAATCTTTTTAAGTTACCCATATAGATCCTACATTCGATAATACAAAATATGCATGCTTTCATCAACACCATTAATCCCAAAATATAATCAATCATTGATCGAGTTACTAGAAATTATAGAAAAAGCGCGAGACTTAGATGGGAAATCTAGCAATCCATTAAGCTATCGTCACGCAATAGCGGCGTTAAAGGTATTTACTAAAATAATAACACCTCGATTTTCTGATTCAAAAATTGGGCTTATTATTTAATTGATTGTAACTAAATTAGGCATATCCGCGAGAAATAAAAAGTGAAACCGAAGCAAGGCAAATAAAAGGTTTGATCCTTTTTTTCGTTTTTTTTAATCTCTTCAATTTTTAGACTCAAATCGTATCTTAACAGAGGCACGATCGAAGAAGCAGAAAATTTGCTTAATAGTGAAAGGTTCCTAGTATTAAGCACTTTTTCACAAGTGTATGGTATGCTGATCACGTGTGTTTTGCTCATAATAGTATTCAAACTTGCTAAATGGTACCTATTACCTAGGAGTTGGCTATAAACCGCTCAAATATGGTATAGCAAGGGTTATAGGACCATTGATGATGCCCGTGAAAATCCTTATCTCACTGAAGCTCAACGAATCGGATTGGAACTCTTTGAACAGTTTCAAAAAAAGTCGTATCGTTAAAACTATCCGAAGAGTTCTTTGATAATTCCAAAAAAAAAAAAACGAACAACTTTGTATATTATTTACAGGATACACAGTGAAAGTCGATATAACGGACCCCTCCGTTCCTGCTATGCTGTCCGGTAAATCGACGGATCCGCTATAACAGACAAAATTTATATAATGTTATTTATCGTTATAGCTGGTTCCAAAAAATAGTCCGTTATAGATCAAATCCGCTATATCGATCGTCCGTTATATCGACTTTCACTGTGTATCAACGAAGTTGAAGAAATAATTGAGATCTTGAAAAAGAAATTAAAGCTGTAGATCCAAAGTGCACACTTACCCCCGTTGGCGGTTATCGACGTGGAAAAGAGTTCAATGGAGATGTTGATGTGATAGTAACTCATCCTGTAGAAGAAGCAGCCACACAATTGTTGCCACGAATTATTGACAAGTTGTCTCAAAAAGGTATATTTTTTGCTTAATATGAAATTATTTCGTGATGTCTATCGCTATCTACAATGAATATACTTTATTACTTACACTGTAGGATATCTGAAATATAAGATGTGGCATGGTCACACAGTTCCTAGGCATAAGATGTATGGTCGTACGGTTCCAAAGCATAATATCTTGGATAAAGTGAATTTTTCATTACATTAATTATTTTTGTCTAAAAACAAACTTTAACACATTCTTGTTTATTAGTGTATTTGTGCATTTTATCATCCGAGTGCAAAACTTCATCGGCAAGTGGATATTATAATTGCACCGCATAGTCTTTATCCCACTGCAGTGGTAGGATGGACAGGTATACAGTAATTTTGAATTTTTACATCATGATTATATGCTCGCTTGAATATTAATATATGCTAAATATGAAATTAGGATCACGACAATTTGAGCGATCTTTCAAACTCTATGCCTCAAGGTTTGCTTTTATTTCGATTTCGATTATTAATTTATTTAGTCATTGCTAACATACAGTCCCCAGCATAAGTAACTGACCCCGGATAACTTTCCGAAAATTATGTGTAATGTTCTGAAATTTTCTGAGCACAAAGAACATCACAAATGCTGATCATTGATACATTTTTATAGATTGATAGAGCTTCTATATCGGGTATTGTATGTTCATAAACTCTCGCATCCCAGTCATTTCATAACACACATCTCAATATCCAATAATCTAATTCTTGACATCCAGTGATCCGATTTGAACAAAAATATTACTGTTCGATTCGTCTCGACTAGACGAATCGAATAGTAGTATTTTTGTTCAAATCGGATCACTGGATGTCGAAATATTGCATCCTAAGTAGCAGATTCATTTTCTTAATATTAACAAAAATGAATCAACCAATTTATCTCGATCTCCAGTGATCCGATTCAAACCAAAATAAAATAAATATATATATATATATATATATATATATATATATATATATATAACATTTTAATTAGACGAATCAGGATCGAGATATTATGTCTTAAATTGACCGATCAATTTTTTTGGCGATCAATTTCTAATGAAAAATTGATGAATCGGTCACTTTAGTATGTAATATTTCGACATCCAGTGATCCAATTTGAGCGAAAATACCACTATTGATTTACATAGATTAGATAAATCGAATCGTAATATTTTTGTTCAAATCGGATCACTGGACGTTGAGATATTATGTCCTAAAGTGACCGATTTATTGTATTTGGAGTATGAAAGTTATGAACATACAATACACGATATAGAAGTTCTATCAATCTATAAAAATGTATCAATGATCAGCGTTTGTGATGTTCTTTGTGCTCAGAAAATTTCAGAACATTACACATAATTTTCGGAAAGTTATACGGGGTCAGTTACTTATGCTGGGGACTGTAAAGCTAACTCATAATACAGGAAAAGAATCTAATACTTGCATCCCATGGTCTCTTACAAATACTAAGCCGCGTAGGCGTATCCCTGTTTATACTGAAAGAGATGTTTTTAATGCTGTAGGAGTCCCATGGTTGGAACCAGAAATACGCAATTGTTAAACTTGCACAGTTGAAAATGGTCGAGTTTTAAATGACACAGGTAAGTATTCAATTATTTCTTGATTTTAATGACTCTTCAGCAATTTATTCTATTAGCAATAAATGTATTCGCAGAGTAGTTTGATTATCTGTTTTTCCTGGTAGACGGGTTGAATAATCAAACTATAATTTCATGACCAATTAATCTTAAAAATCACATGCGCAAAGTTATCCTATATTCGTCTTAAAAAATCTTTGTTATAGACTAACTTTGTTCGCAAAAAAGTATATAATTGGACTCTTGAACACTTTAAACCGATTTTTTTTAGAAAATATTTTGGTTGAATATTATTAATGTGGGGGAGCATAACGATATCTATTATAATAAACTATGAATAACAGTTATACTCATAAATTTACATAGTATCGGTATTTAGCAATGTAAATTAATTTATATATTTTATGCATTTATCATTATTTTCAAATATTGTTCTTTTATTATAAGAAATTATCGATAATTCTGGTTAAATGATCTCATGATCGGCACAATTTTGGCCAAAATTTTCACCATAATCCGTTTTTCATTATGATTCCACATATGTATCTGAAAACAATTTGGGCTCCTTTATAGTCACGCCTGTTTATAGTCACACCCCTCTATAGTCACGCCCGTTTATAGTCACACCCCTTTATAGTCCCCTATTTTGCTTTCCCATTTACATATAAACATAGTAAAAAAAATCCCTTTATAGTTACATTCTCTCTATAGTCACCAAATTTTGCTTTTCCGAGGGTGGTGACTATAGAGAGATTTAACTGTATTGTATAAAATTGTACAAAATATCCAAACATAATTTTCTGACTTTAATCTTGAATCACATCAAATAGCAAGAGAAAGATTTTCCATTTTTTCAAAAATAATTATTTGATTCGTTGTCTTTATCACTAAAATATCTTTTTCAATTCGATTTTTTTTGTCAATAATAATGATGATGATAATAATAATAGTAGTAGCAATAATAATAATAATATTATTATTATTATTATTGATGTTGAAATAATAGTTATATTATTATTATTATTTAAGTTGATAATGATAATTGTATTATTAATATTAGTATTGGTGATAATAATAGTAATAAATTATCATTAATTATTTCACTGATTTTATTATATACAATGGTAATTAGAAATAATGCAACAACATCAAAATTTATTAATTAAATATAGTAAAATATGAATTTTTTCTTTATATAAAAGTTTTTAATTCTACTAATATTTTTATATTAAATAAAGATAATATTGTTACCATTCTACCTTTCATCAGTTATATCACGTTATATTTTAGCGCAGTAATGTTCATTTAAACTTTTTTTTTCTTTTATTTTTACTTTTCTATTTTTTTTATTTATTTTATCCAATAGCATTAATTTATATTTTTATCCAA